TCAAGCGAACGTCGGCTGTACATACCAGATCAAGTCATAGAACCATGCAAGATGGCGTCAAGGTAGCTATTGGGAACTGTGTACATCAATACGAGATACACATACACAGCGTCAAGCGGCTCGTACACGGAGATCAACCCCGTTTGACTGTAGCGAGCCGTCAAGCGAGCCACCTAAGCCGCCAAGCGAGCCGCTAAGCGAGCCGCCCGAGCCATCAAGCGAGCCATGCCGCGTCGCAATGATGATCGCTGTAAAGAACGGTGCTATGACGACCGCAACCGCGACCGCCGCCATGACGACAGGCCAGAAAGCTTGAGGGCCTAGCAATTTTGTTGCTGCCAACCAGATGTTCTGTCTAAAGATAAATACATTTTCATATATGAATATTTAATAAAGTTTTCGCCATGATGTTTCTTCATACTATTGTTTACATAATTATTCTTCAAACGACTTTTCTTTATGTATACCATCTTAAAGATGACATATGCTTTCGTCTCAACAGCTCCCCGAACAGTTACGTTTACGTTTGTGCTTTCCAGAGACGGCCCTGTCACTTGTTCCTCCCTACGCATGCACGAGCACCAGCCCTCTGCGTTATGGGTGGTCAGCAGTGGCTCCTTTGTGACGCTTGTCTTCCTACGCTCCAGCGTTTTGCGTTATGGTTTACGGGCTAGCCGGTGCTGGGGGCTCAATCACAAACTAACTAGTCGGGACGGTTTATATTAAATATAAACACATCTCCAAAAGAACACTCAGTGTTTACAATATCTTTAAGATATTTTTTATCAACTCGCCGACTGGCCACGTTCTCATTTGTGTTATCTAGAAGCGGCCATTTCTCGATCTCACACCTACACGTGAACGAGCGCCAGCCCTCTACGTTATGGGTGGTCGGCAGCGGCTCCTCGACGATGCCTGTGCTCTTACGCATAAACGGGTGCTAAGCACTCTACGCTATGGGGTATGGGCTAGTCGGAGCTAGTGATGCGATACAGAACCAACTAGAAGGAAGTTACTCATATTTAAAATATGAACGGAACTCCAAAATAAACATAATGTTTATCTACAACTACTCAGCAAGATACATCATGTGTTACCCATTCTACATATTTGTATTGTAGGGACCTAGTTCAGTCAACGAGCTTATGGACTAGATCACCCGGGAAGGACAAAAGGACCATCGCCCGGGTTGTCGTACCACTTGGCATTTGGACTTCTCCGTTGATCAACTAATCGGACCGCTAGGTTTATGGACTTCGTCGTTGACCAGTTGGTCGGATCGTTCGGCACTCACTTCGTCGTCGACCAGTTGGTTGGACTGCTCGGTGCTCGATGCTTCACTGGCCAGCTGGTCGGATTGTTCGTCGGTTCATCGTCAGCTACGCTGGGGGCTCACCAGCTAAGCTGGGGATTCCTCGGTGTTTATTCTTCGTACAAGCATTGCTAGCTAAGCTGGGGACTCCTCAGTGTTCGAATTCTTCGTACAAGCGTTGCCAGCAAAGATGGAGACTCCTCGGTATTCGAATTCTTCGTACAAGCGTCGCTAGCTAAGCTGGGAGCTCCTTGGCGTTTGGATTCTTCGTGCAAGAGTCGCTAGCTAATCCGGGGACTTCCTTGGCGGTCGGATTTTGCTACATCTCATCGGTGTGCTATCAAGTTGCTCCATGCTGTTCGGATCAGGGTGTTGATCTTGGACAGTACGTCCGGGGTCTTGATAATTACATGGCAGAAGACGTTGGCAAGCTTTCATTAAAATTCTTTGATCCTACCATAAGTTTTCTCCTCAATCTTCTAGCAGGCTCGGGTACTACATGTGTACACATCATCTAGCGATGACTTTATTGCTTTTCTACACTGCTTCCTCTAAGCTAAGCTGGGGACTGGTCTTCAGCTAAGCTAGGTACTAGGTTGGCACCTGAAGACTACTATTTTGGATCTTGGCACCACATGAATACTTCATCTACTATCAGGCTCAGAAACTAAGTGGACATACTTCACTTTTCGGTGAATGTGCTTATTTCTATAATCCAGTCCTCTTCGAAACGACTAAGTCGTGGAAGGTCATCACTGCACTCTATTTGGCTCTAAGAGTCAATTCTGCCTTGGGCATGGATGCTAAGCGTTTGTCTTCGCCCTCGAGGGACTAAGTTCCTCCTCGCTGACTAAGTCAGGACCGCTAAGCGTCCAACTTCGCCGCACGGAACCTAAGTGGGCACACTTCACCAATGGTGAAGTTTTCAAAAAAAATTCACTTGAGCTCCTTACATTCTTCTGATAAACCTCAACTTCGAGCAAGTCCCGATTCGGCTCCTAGTTGAACTGCTCGATACCGGCTTCAACTGCTCAGATGCGTGTTCAACAGCTCGGACGCTTCTTTCAACAGCTCGGCTCCCAGTTAAATTGGTCAGAAGCCTGCTCCTGGTGATCAGCAATAAGTTGGACAGCTCGGACAAACTCAAGACGGTGTTGCTCAGATGATACAAAATGCTCGGAGACTAGTTGTGGGGGTATGACCCCCGATACCCTTAGGGCTGTACATGGGCTTAGCCGTCAGGGGAGGCCTAGCTCACAAGAATCAAGCCACGCGGGGCATGGCACAGGTCGGCGTGCGCCGCAAGACTGTGTGAAGCATCTTTGATGACGAAGGAAGATCTGATCGGATATGCTAGATACCGCGATCTCTGTAATTCCTATCATGTAAACCGATCAGGATATATTCAACAGACCTGTAACCCTACCCTCTGAGCTATATAAGACGGATAGGGACCCCTCGTTTTCAGATCATCTCATAATACAATCCGTCAAAGACACATGATGTAGGGTATTACGTCACGCTGACGGCCCAAACCTGCCTAATCGCTATCTACTACCGTGGGCATACCCCTCGGTAGACTGCCGGTCGTATTTCATCGACACTGAGATTGCCACAACTAAATCTCTCCCTGAAACTGCTATTCCAGCTGCTACTTCTAACTCCAGTCTATCTTTGGCAAGCATAGTAACATCAAAAAGCAAGAAGATGTCTAGGAAGCGTCCAACTCCCGTGGTTAGAAGAAGCAGTAGGCTACACAAGGCAGAAGTGTATACGTATCTTGTGATGGATGACACAAGGAAGTCTAGAATCACAAAGGACACCACTACTACTCTCCAGAGACAGCTAGATGAGGTAGAAGCTAAGAGTGCTAAAGATAATCAAATTTTATTAATTGCTCTTATGCAGGAACCAGGGACAGAGTACTGTGAAGTGCCACCCGAGGAGATCACTATTGCTATAGTTATACACATAACTTTTACGTATAATATTTTACGAGATATAACTTATTAGCATAACTTACTCAATATGTTTCTAAATAATATTTTTTAGACAACTTATCATAATAACTTGTCTATGTAATTGTTGAAGTCCATCTTTTGTTCATAACTACCGGTGGATAAACTTATTCATAACAATTTCTCAACATAACTCTTATAAACACAACTTTATATAATAAATTATATAAATAAAATAACTTATACAAATAAGTTATTGTTCTAAATTGTACATACAATTTATCCAACACAATTTTTGTAATTTGTTGCGACCAAATTTCTCAACATATAATACAAAAAAAGGAAAAATAAAAAATGCAAGAAAAATAAAAGGAGAAAACAAGAAAGTGAGAAAATAAAATGCAATAGAGAAAAGAAATAAAAAATAAAAGGAAAAAAGTGAGAAAAATGAATGCGTGTCGGGAGAGAGAAAGATGAAAAGTGTGAGAAAATAGAGTTAGGAAAGTCACGGGAAGGGAAGGATGCACTAAAAAGAGAAAGGAGAAGTGAAGGATATAAAATGGACCCCAGCACATAATCAAAGCTGGAAAGGTCGTCGCAACCGCTAGATCATTTACTAAATTGGAATTGAGGGAATGCTCAACAAAATGAAATTGGGATTTGTAGCTGCCCTTCTCGCGAGAACCGGTACCTTAGAGCAACTGACAGCAATAGGTCGGTGGCCGCGAACAACTCGATGGCGGAGGAGGGCCTCAGTGCGGGGAGGATGGCAAGGTTAGGAGCGATAGGGAGGATCGAAGGAGGCGCTGTGGGCGTCGTTAGGGTGGCCACAATTGTCGACACTGTGCAGAAATCTCCGATCCAGCGCCACTTCATCCTGTCGGATGGACACTTGAGGCCTTTTAGTTCTCATGATTCTAAGTCTTCTATTCTTGGAAATTAAACGTTATTAATCCATGTGTCATGTTGTCATTTAACCACTAAAATCATAATGACCCTTATAAAGGTACTTTGTCCCATGACAGAACATACTTATTAAACAATCTGAAACGCCTGAGATTCAGAAGTGAATCCGTTGATGATGAGGTTGTAATCACGCGATTATACACGTACAGCGCGCATGGTTGATTAGAAAGAGAGCCAGGCATCGAGGCAGCTCCGATCGTCCTGTACGTAATTTGCTTCTCATACGACGCACATGCGAGGAAGATTGAGCATATATACACACACTAACACCATATAGAAATTTATCAACTTGATTTGGTTATACGCGCTGCATCTGCATGGTACGCGTATCTTTTCTTTTTGCCAATGGGAAGGTAGATGTAAACACTTGTGACAGCGGGACACGTGAATATGACACTTCGCCTCCTATATGAGTATACTGTATGTATTCCACGTATGCATCTCAAGAGACACAAAAGAACAAGTATCTAGAATTCTCAAAGTCGCAAGTAGTAATGATTTTGAAACCTCAAAAAGACCGTAAAAAAATAGACGTTGCAATTTAAAATTTCAATCACACGATTGAAGATAAAAATATCGAACCCTATTAGGCCTTGTTTGGATGCGCATATATTCATCTCAATCCACATGTGTTGAAGTAGATTGGAGTGAAATTAAACTAAATTTCATTCCATTCCACTCCAATACATATGGATTGAGGTGGATACACATGCATCAAATAAGGCCTTAAGAGAAGTGTTCATTGTCCCTGTCGGCATGTGGTCTCAGTGGAACTGAGCGATGGTACGGTAATCGGCATTGCCCCTCCAGTTGACCGGGATGACGTCGTAGGCCACCAGAATCTTGCCACAGTCGCTGCGGACGCGCAGCGAGAGGGGTGCCTTCAGCGGGTGGCCGGGGTCTATCCTCCAGACGGCGCCCCACGACTCGTACAGCGGCCTCCATGTCTGCGAGTTGGCCTCCTTGAGGTCCACCTGCACCACGGCGCCATCTCTGCCCGCGTAGTACACGATCACCGCGAAGTAGAATGGGTTGCAGCCTCCCATCACGTGGAACCTCACGTTCAAGCCCTTGTAGTTGCAGGGCACCCTGCGTGGGTATGACGACGAGGACGAGGAGGTCAGATCGATCGATGCGTATATATATGAGATGAATCTTCACGTTGGCAACAATATATTACTAAAGCCGCCAAATCAAAGCGTCAGAAATTCTGCTACTCTAACTGTTACTACGGACCTCCTGTACTGGATGCTGAGGGCGCCGGCATCGCGGAGCTTGCCGTTGAGGCCAGGCTTAGCCATGGCGCCGAACGCCGTGCCGCTGAGGTCGAGACGGTTGGGGCCGAGACTGGTGTCGTAGTTCACGTCGGTGATGATAACCGTCTGGGGCACGCCAGAGCAGGCAGGGTTGTTCCTGCTCACGCATTTTATCTGAGAAGCAGCAGACCAAACAGAGGATGCATGAAGACATGTCCATGTTGCGGTTCACCACCCTCCGGACGCTGAACGCGACGGTCGGCAGGGATATGTGCGCACGCACACAACGCTCGACCAAGCAAACAAGGACCGCTAGGTTTCACGTAGTACCTGGTAGCATGCGCCGCAGCCCTTGCCGTCGTTGAACAATTTGTGGTCGCCGCAGGACGTCATGGAGTTGAAAGGGTACAGGTTGGTGCCGCTGTACCCACACCCACCACCTGCAAGACACAACGCCAGGGCTGAAGACACAAGGAACACGGCAGCATTGTCACGCGCATGGCACACGTACACACCGTTGTTGTCAGGGCCGGCGCCGTTGGGCCGGCCGTACCAGGTGGCCATGGCAGGTTGCCAGCTGCCGCCGGTGGTGCTGGAGTAGTACAATTCCCTGCGGGCGGAGGAGGCGTTGTAGCTCGGCTGCGCGCGAGCGCCATGCGTGGCGAACACGGACACGAGCGCAACGAGTGCGGCCACCTTGATGCAGATCGCGACGGCCATCTCAGCTCAAGGTCGTGCTGGGTTTTTGTCGGAGCGGGGCGAGGCCGGCATATCGCATATATAGACAGGCAAAAAGTGGCGACGCATTTTCTAAACATACCACAGATCTTTGCACTCTTTGCACTCGACGTGGTGCCGTGTTATTCATCGTGTCCACCTGACCGCTGTGCAACTAAAAGATGTGCCACCACGTAGCTAGTTACGGCCTAAACTTGTTTTGATTTCAGGAAAACAAATATCGCGTTACAATGAATACTCTGTTAACATTTATATATATGCATTCTCGCCGAATCATTGTCCCTTTAAGAATGTTACATGGTTGTTGCAACGAACTACAGCTGCAACGTGGTGGAAAAAGTCCATATAAATGAAAGCTTTATTAGATCATGCAAGTCACAACTCTGGGCTGACTTTTGATATATGTTGCCTTGCATACTGATCCTCAGGGGAGTGGGAAAACGGCTCCACGGACCAGATGGTCAGGATGTCTGGCCGACACCCTCGCGTGCAGGGTTTTCGAGCCCCCCCCTCCGAACGTAAAAAAAAATCTCCTCGTCTGTCCCGTATTTTTCAAATCATAGGTAAATGGACCGGCCCACTCACAGGGTAACCGACCCCTGTGTGAGGGCGGAGCATAGGGTTCAGAAGTTTTCTTGGCTTGCGTGAGAGGTCATCTACCTTAAGCATAAAGTTGCGGGGGCTGTCTGCCCACCGTAGGCTGAGTTTTTTTTTCAGGGGAGTGGGAAAATGTAAAATAGAAAAGGGGTTGGCAAAATGTAGAAAAAGAGGAAAAAAAGAGAGCATAATTGTAATAGGAATAATGCGCAACACTACTGGAGGCGGGCTCTTTGCCGAGTGCAACACTCGGCAAAGAGCCTCCGTCGAATCCCCTTCCGGTAAAGGCTGCTCGGCAAAGGCTTTGCCGAGTGCCACAGCTCCGGCACTCGATAAAGAAATCTGTTTTTTTAAACCTCTTTGCCGAGTGCCACAGCACCGGCACTCGGCAAAGGGTGTTTTTTTATTTTATTTTTTAAAATTTCTTTGCCGAGTGCAATGACCATTGCACTCGGAAAGCGTGTTTTTTATTTTTTTTTAATTTTCTTTGCCGAGTGCAATGGTCATTGCACTCGGCAAAGCCACCTCTAAATTTTTTTTTGTTTTTTGCTTTTCCATTTAAACAAAAATGCATATATATATGCATATATATATATGCATATATATATATAATAGAAACCATAATTCAACAGCAATAAATTACAAACCACATTTATATATTACAAACGACCAAATTTGTCCGAAATCCACAATTTATTACAAACCACAAGTTCATAGTCCACAAATTCACAAGTTCGATACATAGAAACTACTCCGCAAAGAGTGCCACCCGGTCCGGCACTCGGCAAAGAGTGGCTTCGCCGAGTGCCAGATTTTTGGCACTCGGCAAAGCTGGCGGCACTCGGCAAATCTGCGTTCTCCAGTAGTGCAAGTGCAGAGTATTGAACTATAGAACACAATTTATTGCAATAAGCCATTTTATAGTGACAAAGTCAAAGGCCTCGATATGACATAGTTGCTTGCATTCTCCTTAATTTAATTTATTTACTTAAAAATAGTGATATTCTTTCAGTGATAAACAATATGTCTATTAACAACAAGACACTTGTTGTGATTTTGTCAATATATGATCTACTAGCTTAGTCTATTGAACTTGCTCATAGGGATAGGATATCCGTACATATGTTCATAGGAGTAACTATACATGTTCATAGGAGTAACTATACATGCGTGTATATGAGTGCATGTATCAAGCATCGTAGAGGCTTTTCATATATAAATTTTATTTTTTTATAGTTTTAGGGCTCATGACCCGGCCTTTTAACTAAAGTCAAATGACCAAATGTTCATTACAGCGCAAGAAAAACCTCCAGAAGAACTCAGAGTGATGAACCCAAAACTAACACCTCGCCCCTCAACAAGACTAAACGTGAAAACCAACCTGAACCCAATGAACTTAAAGCCTGGCACAGACCACTTCCCAACTCAGTCTATCCCTCTTCAAATAGAACAAAAGCCTTTACATCAACTCCTCGAGTTGTTAACGGATTTCCACCAGATGCATGAAGAATCTGCCGACAGTACATCATCCTCTTCATCATCAACTCCACTGTAGACTTGTTCTTCTCCAGCCGCACCAAGTTGAAGCTTCTTAATGCCCAAGCTTTAGTTGGGCAGACATAAGAACTCCACATAGGAATTCCAGAGATCCAATCCCTTTTCCAAAGGACTCCATATGTTTCCCCCCACGATATTCAAATCCCCTAAGTTGTAATTCTTTTTTCTCTGGTCTCATAGACACACTTTGATTGGACCACAATAAACACTAGAACTAATGTTCTCACTGGAGCAAAGATTTTTGCATTTTTTTCTCTGATCTCAGAGACACAATTTGATTGGACCACGATAAACTCTACAATTCATGTTCTACTTTATCACTACAGCAAAGATTTTTGGATCGTGTCAACTTCTATGATCTCCACTGACCACTGTTCTTCATTTTTTAATATTCGAAACTTATTGTTTCAGCATATATATTAATAAGAAGAAGAAAATTGGCCCAGCTTATAAGGGAAACTGAACCAAAAAACCATAGAACAACTAACTGCACGATGCAACACTACTTACAACTACCAACATGCGATAGAGGCTGTCAAGTGTCGTTGTTGCCATGCTTGCCACTTGCGACATAATAGGTCCGACTTCACATCGATGGATCTCAACCATGTCTTAAGCTACAAGACAAAGCCTCGCTAAAGAACTGAGATGCCACCAAGCCCAAAAGCAGCTAGAGAAGATGAAGTCTATCACCAAGGTTATCCTTGCTGACCATTGCCAACAACCAAAAAAAATGGCTTTGAGTCATCATTATCAAGCTTACAGATCGATGCATAAACATAGCAACTTTGCCTTCCCATAGGCCACAAAAGGGTGCCATCACCGCCAAAGTGGTCCTAAACACAATGCTAGATTTCCACAATGATACCTTCAAGAAGGTCACGAAGCCAATGGCGCCACCATTGCAGGACTGCGAATGGGTAGGGCTTCAAATCAAAGAAAACAAGCAAGCTAGGGCAGAGTGGACACCTCCAAGGAGAAAGCTGTGCCTGTAGGCATCACTGTATAGGCTTTTACCCTATCCTCAACCAACCTAACCCCATCGAAGAAATTGGGCATGACCTTGCCGGTATAGCGTTAAGGCCACAACAATAGCCAAAATTGCATCCACGACAGCATAGCAAGTGCATCACGTGGAAGCAACAGAGAAACCAATGAAGACAACAAAAAAATGATGCACATGCATCCAGCCTAGTTGGAAATGTTCACTGCTGGCAAGATCCAAGCCGGCTAGCCCTAGATCCACCATCAATCATGACAAGAGAAGTGTCGGTGTTTCGAATCACCAGCTAGTAAATTTTTAGTTTGAGCGTCTGACCCGGATGACTGTGCTCGGAGGACACAAGGATTTATACTGGTTCGAGCAGAACGTCCCTACGTCCAGTTTGCTGCTGCTTGTATTACCGGCACTTGGTTTGCAGTAGGGGTTACAAACATGCGAGAGAGGGAGAAGGTCCCAAGTCTCTGGTAAAAAGAGTGAGTCCGATTGAGCTCTCTTTCTACTATCGAGCGCCTAAGCCTTCAGCCGCTCAGACATGTTAGATGTGTGGGAATGCCTCCCCTTTCCCCGTGGGGCGCCCTACTTCCCCTTTTATAGATGAAGGAGAAGATGCAGGTTACATCGGAGAGAGAGACGAGGAGAAGAAGGCTTCCGGGATTGCGACGTCATCCATCTCATTTACGCGGGTCCCGCCGGCCCTGTAGATGACGACGGGGACGGCTCCACGTCGCGGCCCTGTTCATCACTGGCGCCGTAAGTGGGCGTCGTCAGCCCCTAGACGCGCCTACTCCGCTTCTGGCGTCATAAGTTTGACCCTGGATTCGTACTTTTAGACCCGTAGTGGTTGGGGGTGGTACGGACCTCCGTCGGGCGAGGCGAAGCCCGCGCACTCGTGGTCGGGCGAGGCGGAGCCTGCGCCCGAGGGGTCGAGCGAGACGAAGCCTGTGTCCTTGGGGCCGGTCGAGGCAGAGCCCGCGCTCTCGGGATCGGGCGAGGCGGAGTCCGTACCCTCGGGATCGGACATGACGGGGCTCTCGCCCGAGGGGTCGGGCGAGATGGAGCCCGCGCCCTTGGGGTTGGGTGACCCGGATCCCGCATCCTTGAGGTCGGGCGAGACAGAGCCTGTGCCCTCGGGGCCGGACGAGACCAAGATACGTTTTTGACCCTCCGAGGGAGTTAGTGTTCACGGCCATTAGCTTCCTTCTTCTAGGTATCCCTGATACTTATACCCGACAAGAAGCATAGGAGGATGCGCCACACCCTAGAGGCAACCCCCTCCATTGCTTGTAGTTGCCATGGCACCTCCGAACCGATGCACAACAACCCCCACTCCACCTGCTCACCCATGCATTGAGGTCATTGGACATGCCCTCCTCTCACACACTTGCCATTGTGTCGGCACCTCACCATCCCGTGGCTGCAACCCCATCCATCACCATGAATCCGACTTGCCGTCAGAGGGCATAGCAGCCCAACGATGATCAAAGAGACGAGGCTAGCCTCGAGAAGAATGGCGCCCTATAGCTGAGAGGGAGGATGATGCCCTGAAGAAACTATCTAGCACCGGATCTAGATCCTGCTAAAGCTCCGCATGCAGGCCTCAGATCTAGCAAGTCGCTCGCCAAAGCTATGAGGCCATGCCTCTAGCCACTGGATGTTCACGACCCACAAGTAGCCACCAACATGGAGCTCTCAGCCACCACCTAAAGGAAGAAAATTCCCTGCCACCATTAGCAGGTGCATGGCATTCGGCGGGGGAGAGGCAGGTTTAGCAAAGGGAGGGGTGTCACTAGGTGGTGTCTACGCGAGTTGCCCTAGTGGAGCAACACTGGGGTCAAAAAGACCCACTATTCTTATTTTACTTAGTTAATTTTAGAAAGTTATCAAACGTATTAGTGTCAGATCTCATTGGAATACAAGGTTCTGAGTTTCATGACAACATGAGTTTAGCGTACATTTACTTTTGAGATCAACCAACCCAAGCATCAAATAATACGAAGGAATGGTAGTGACCAACACTTGTTTTATTTTGTTTTGGAAATGATATACAATGTCACAAGGAAGATGGGTGAGTGGTGTATAGAAGTTAGCCGGTAAGAGCAACTCCAACCACTTAAATCGCCGCCAAAAGCTGATTTTGGGTGGGTATAGGGAGAAGGCTCCCATAAAACAACAACAGAAATCACTGCTCTATTTTATGGATTGCCCAAAACTAGTGCCATGTTGCATCAAATATTTTTACCCCTATTGGCTGTCCAACCAGCATTTTCCAACATGTTGCTTGGCAAAAATTGATTACATGTTCAAGTTCCTATGCCCTAGCCGGTCGGTGGCCACCTCTAGCCAAGGCTTTGTTGTTAGCAGCCTTCCCCGTTTGCCCACTAGCTTGACCCATGGTGCTGTTGTGGCCCATGGTGGCTACCCATGGTAGTTAGCAGGCTATCCCGGCCGGCTCTTGCAGGCGTCAAGTGGCAATGGGCCGAATGGAGATGGGTAGTGGTGGCCAGAGGTGGCTGGAGGCCAACCAATGGTGGCCAGAGGTGGCTGAGGCCAATCAGAAAGACCTGACTAGATAATGTGGTAGGTTCTGGGCACCAAAAATATAATACTCTTAGTGGAATCATTTTTTCATACAATACATTTTTTGCAACCACCCAAACCCAAATTACACTTACATTTTCGCATGTGTTTGGAATGAGGCACTTGCTGATACAAATTCTACCAAAAAAATATTGATTTGACTATGAAGTTGCGTATGGAAACAAACCCACCAATGCAATTAGAAGCAACCTTCGAATGCATGAGTTCCTAGTGCAGCCCCCACACAATCTTACGATTATGATCATAGTTAGGGTCCCTTTGGAACGCAAGATTCACATAGAATAGGAAAAATGAAATTAAATGCCTGAATATATATTGAATTCCGTATATAAAAAAAAATACATGAAACACAAGATCAAACGTTTGGATGGAGCGCAGGAAAAAACACAGTAATTCGATAAGAGAAAGTTTCCTTGAATTTTCGTCTATTGGTAGAATTCCTCCAAAATTCCTATGAAACCAGCCATTTTATAAGAATTTCATAAGATTTGTAGCAACCGAATTCTTTATTCCTAAAGTTTTTTATAGGAATTTATTCCGCAAGCAGCCCGTTCCGCCGTGCGTGCACAAGTAACCCGGCCGCCCACGCGCGCGCGTCCGTCGCTACGGCGCAAACGCGAGTCGGGAGGCTACGAATACCACGGAAAGCGCAGCCTAAAGATTAGTAGCGACGGCGCCTTTGTTCAAGGAATGTTTAAGGGCGGCTGGGGCTTCGTTATCAGAGATGACCAAGGTGATGCCGTCATTGCTGGGGCGGGCCGGCTAGCTGCAGTGCCGGATGCTCTGACTGCTGAAGCCTCTGTGTGTGCCAAAGCTTTGCAAGCAGCAACAGACCTTGGGATCTCCCGAATTCAATTAGAGATGGACTCATCGCTTCTACAACAAGCTCTCGTCACATCGTCTATGGACCTGGCTTTAGCGGGAAGGTGATCAGGGATACTCGGGATCTCCTACAAGATCATTTTGTATGTAACGATGTTATCCTTATTCCTAGAATATGTAATTCCGTAGCGCATGAATTAGCTAGTATGGGGATGAGTTAGGACCCGGGTGAGTCTTGTATCTGGACAAGCCCCCTCCCAAAGTTTGTAAAAAGTTTGGTATGTCGAGCCTATAGTTTCAATAACAAGGCCTTAGAGCCTGCTTTGACGATAAAAAAAAAAGTATAAACCGGCCGCGCGGCAATGTGATCACTGGTTGCCGGTATGGGGCGGCTGCAAAGGCCAAAGGCCCAAAGGGGAAGCGAGCGCCTGAGCCGGACCTGCGGCGAAGGACGAGAACAGCCCAGTATATACTCCTACAGCTACAGACTACAGTCCTAAAGTACGTAGGAGTACGAACAAACAAACAGCATGTTATTATTTCAAATGTTGCGATGGTGGGCGGGAGATCACATTGCCTCCTCCATTATCCCACGCATCTCAAGATACGTACGTACAACGACAACACATAATTAAGCAATATAACTAATCGGACGAATAACAATGATCGGGTGATGGTGATCGCAGCGTGCGGCTAGGGGAACTGGACGGAGGAGGGGTAGTCGGTCAACGGCTTCCAGTCAGCCGGGATGACGTTGCTGGCCACCAGCGTCTTGCCGGAGCCGTTCCGGACGCGCAGCGAGAAGGGCGGCTGCAGCGGGCGCTTGGTGTCGAGGCGCCAGACGGCGCCCCACGACACGCGCATCGGCGTCCACACGCCCGTCGGCTTGCCGGTCGCCCTGTCGGTCTCCATCAGGTCCAGCTGCGCCACGGCGCCGTCCTTGCCCGCGTACTGCACCAGCACCGCGAAGTAGTTCGGGTTGGACCCCACCTGGACGCGGAAGTTGACGTTCAGGCCCTTGTAGTTGCAGGGCACCCGCCGGAACTGGATGTCGAGGATGCCCGCGTGGCGGAGCTTGTCGTTGAGGCCGGGCTTGGCCATGGCGCCGAACGCCGTGCCGCTGAGGTCGAAGTGGTACTTGGACACCGGGTAGTAGTTCATGTCGGTGATGATCACACGCTTCGCTCTGCCGGAGCAAGCATCGTGGGTGCTATTGAGGCACCGTATCTGATGGATTTTCAATTGGACAGTCAAGAACGTCGTCAGCATCGAGGATATTAAAGGGTTATTACTGCTACGCTTGACCGATGATCAAATTAACTCACCAGGACTGCGACTTAATAGTAAAATAGTGTCTAGATTAACTAGTAATTTATTTATAGAGTATTCTACTACCTGGTAGCATGCGCCGCAGCCCTTGCCGTCCTTGAACAGCGGCTGGTTGCCGCACGACGTCATGGACATGTACGGGTACTTGTTGGTGTTCTTGAACCCGCACGCGCCACCTGCAGATATCACACAACAACGTCAGACATGCACACGGGCATTGGTAGTAGCACTAGCACGCACCGTTGTCGTCAGGGCCGGCGCCGTTGGGCGCGCCGTACCAGGTGGCCTTGGCCGCCTGCCAGCCGCCGTTGGGGCTCGCCGCCTCGGCGTACATCGCGAGCACCACGAACAGTGCAGCGAGTGCAGCCACCTTTGAGGAGGAGATGGAGATCACGGCGGCGGCGGCCATCTCAGCTCGATGGAACCAGCTAGGCAGCTAGTCACTTACAATTTTCAAGATTAGCGAGTACTTGTACTTGGATGTTCGGTCGTCGGTGTTTTTGTTGGTCGACCGGAGGACGACACTGCCGGTGCATTTATAGGCAGGCGAAAGCCGGCCGGGTTGATCGAATTGGCATCAAGGGTCGCCGTTCGGCTCGTCGCGTACGCTGGGCTTGCCGTGTTAGAGGTGCAAGGTCACATGGCCACCAGGCGAAATGGAGTAGGCGGCTGGCGACCCTGCTGCCGGCAGTTGCAGAATGGGATCATGTATTGCAGCTCGTACCATTGGGAAGTGAAACCCTGGCAATGATTGGTAAAATTAGAATCTTGCAGTTTCGTTCTCTATACGGTGCGGTGGCCAGAAATTTTTCCTTAATCTTTAAAAACTATGATCGCATTTTTAATCTAGTACGATTGCGTGGCATGCTCGCATTTAGTTTTGAATAACTGCTACATGCTCGAATTTAGGTTTCTACCTAAGTTAGAGTCACTGATGTGGTATTTTCAGCTAACTAAGTTTTTAATGTAGTCTACGTATTCGTTGACAACGAGACAATATGTATTTCAGAATTGAAAAAAGCAAAATATCCCTTTTTCTCTTAAAATCAAACAAATTTGTATAGTTATATCGATAAATTTGCATCGCCCAAAACCTCACCAGTGCCCTTTGGCTAAGGGGCTGTTTGGATTCATCCCTTTAAACTTTAGGCCTTAAACTTTAGAGCTAAATTAAGTCTCTAAACAAGTGATTTAGAGTTAGCTCTAAATTTTAGTCCACCTTACCATAGAGCTTTAGAGTTCAAAACTAAGCTAAAGTGTTCTAAAGTTTATAGAGCTCTAAAGTTTAGAGGAGATGATTCAAACCGGCCCTAAGTGTAGCAAACGTAGCCCGAGTAAGTCATGCTTCATGATTTTAATAATTGAGTGACGTAAGATATTATGTTTAACATGTTTGTCAATTATGTGATTTACATGGCTCATCATAGATTCTAAGGATGCAATATGAAAAGATGACATTTGTAATGGCTTATATCCTTAGTCATTGGGTTGCTATATGTGCGTACCACACATTGTGCCACGTCTAAAAAAGAAACTCGTAAGCAAGTCAGGTGTTAATATATCTTTTAGCATAGGGTTATCCAGTATTCAGATATTTTGGTGTTCACGAGGAAAATTTGATGCTTTTACTTTTGAGTATGAAAAATTATAACCATCAGCGCAACAGCTAGTTTTCGTCAATGAAGCTATTTATATCCCTTCCACACCACTAGAATTTGCAATTTCTCCCCGTGCGGTGGGGCTTTCCGAGCATTCGTAACAAACACACGGAATAAATCCCTTGTGATCCTAAACTTCTCTCGAAAAGATATGCATGACTCGGAACTTGGTGAATGTGAACGTGGAGCCTTGTGATTGCATTTGGTGAATGTGATTTCCGAGTGCTAAAGTGACCAAAACACTGAGTGCTGAAGTGACAAGAAAATACTAGGTGAACTTAGCCGTTAATGTAATGAAACTGCCGTTAATATCTACTTATTTGAGTGATGATTTCCCACCCCGAGTAAACAGATCAGGCACAGGGAATTCAGAATCCTCCGATCAAACAAACAAAAGGCACTCGGCACATCTGAAATTTCCCAAATAAAGGCCTCCGACGGATGATTTCCGTGTACGTGTGCTCAGAGAAGCTAACTCCCGTGTGCTTTCAGCCGTACACCACCAATCTGGTAGTGCCGTGGTGCTATTTGAGGTTGGTACAGTTCCTATAAGAAGGCATATACATTTGAGAAGAACCAAGATGCCAAAGTGCTAAGAATGATCATCAAGATGATTAGCACAAGTGTGAGTGAGTGGGTGAGGGATTAGTACTGTTATAGGTCTAGAAGAAAGTGAGCTCCAGTTGTTGATGGTTTAAGGAGTGAAGCCCATTTGTACGTGAGGTTCATTTGCTCCTTAGGGTTTTTGGCTCATCGGCATCTTAGACCCTCCGACTTGGTGTGGAGCAAAGACCGGGCTTTCTCTTAGGACGAGGAGAGCCCATCCTTAGTGAACAAGCTCTATAATGAATACGACATCATATTAACTGGAAGAGACTTCGAAATGACCAAAATTTATAGTAAGTTGCTCACTCGACTTCGACTAGAGTCTCTGTGGAACTTCAGCATGGACAGATGGTGCATTTCCCACCAAAATACCATGGCATAGATCTTTATGCTAAGAGTTTGTGTCTCTTGATCATCACAAGTCTTGACCCATAGTGATCATTTCTCTTTAGCAAAGGATGACTTTAGTTATCAAAGGATTGAACAACTATGATCCATTTAGTTATGATACCTAATTGACATTGTTAAAAAGGATCTACTGAATAATTTTGAGTTTATTGGTTCTAAAAATAATTTTGAGTTTAACATATCCTCATAGCAAAAATATGTGTATTCCTTGCTCCTCACTCATTGTGTGCTTTTACTTTTTCTAGAGTAGCTTGATATAGGTTAGTGTGGGGGTATGGCCCCCGGTATCCACAAGACAAGACATGGGTCGCACCATCAGAGGTGGCCCAGCCCACAAGATCAAGGCTTGCACGGCACTGTTTGACGTGCACCGCAAGATATTGTATAGTACCAAATATGATACTTTCCTTATAACCCTACCCCTCTAGAGTATATAAGGAGAGGCAGGGGTCCCCTAGTGGACATCGATATACATAGTCATCCAGATCAATACAATACACCAAAGACACAGACCGTAAGGTATTACGTCGACCAGGGCATGTCTAAATCGCTGTCTCTGCGCCTTGTGTCACCATCCGATTCCTGATTACGCGCACCTCCACCGATCAATCTACCATCGCGGGATACCCCTCGGTGGACTGCCGAGCATCTTTTGTCGACAGTTAGTGATAGAATTGAGTCTAGTTGCAAAACTTAGTGTTTTTTTGTGAGCAAAAAAACTTAGTTTATAGGTGGGTGAAAGACTAGATAAAACTTATCTGCACATTTAGATAGCATTGACTAGATTTGATGAGGACATGACATCTTCGGATATGACCATTGATTGCAAGGTGAGCTCGTTCCTATATTTGCATAGTGATTTTTGGTATAATTCACTTGGTTCCACATGTACATGTTACTATTTGCTTGTAGGTACAAATGTGTTTCAAAGTCAAGTCCATCAAAGTTAAACTTTCAGGTCATCGGCGACCCGACAACACTTCATTGGGAAGGCCATAACTCTTTCATCCGGAGTGAGTTTGAAGTCCATGAGCACTTGATGGAAAGCTTATTTGATAAGCTTTCAAATAGATCTGGTCTCACCTCAATATCACATTGGCAAGGTCTTCAAATCATCAAGACATTTTGCCATTGTTTCTGTTGGGTGCTACGACGTCGTCGCGGGCTTGTTATTCACACTTGGGACCCAGGCACAAGTTGAAGCATGCCCCAAGAAGATGGAGAACACCTAAGAGATGCCCAAGGACATCCTCCTCCTTGGCCACCACCTTAGCAGCCAAGCAAGGGCGTCCCAACCAAGTTGGAGGCCTAATCCAAGTCAAGTTCGAGTCCATCTCAGACTCCAGAAGCAGCGTGTAGTAAAACGGACGCCCAGGTCGCATACGTACTCTGTTTTTTATGATCCACTTATAGATGAAAAGATAATTTGATAAGGCATCCAATGGAAGTGGTCCGACATAAAAATTTCATTGCAATCAACAGAAATCGTCGAAAGAATTTGACATCCAGAATCTGTTAGGACGTTGTGTCACCGTCTTTTGGGCCGTTTGGACCTTGTAACATGTTGGGGTCCTTAGGAACGTGAATAAGGGTGCTTGCATGCCCCTTAGGCTATATATTTAGTAGCAGCCACCTACATTAGAGTTTGGGTTTTGCTTTAGATTAATCTGTGTTTGAACAGTCGCTATTATCGGTTTGTGAAACCCTACATTCGAGATCTTAATCGTATATCTGCAATCGTCACTTCATTTGAGTTGCGTGTTATCTTGTTCTTGCTTGTGTTCTTTGATTCGCAGCAGGGATTAGCTTTCTAGGCGAGGTCAATCGGATTATGACATGATTGATAACCAGAGAAGACGTGGTGCTAAGATTGCAGGGATTGGGTCTTTGTGATCTGAAGTCGGATCGGTGTGTCGCTCTCCGACCAAATCGGTGTATCTTGAACCTGACGGAAGATCGAGAACCCCGTCCCCATCAAGTGGTATCAGAGCTTCAGGTATACCGTCAAGTTCACATCTTACCCTTAGTTCGAGTGTTTTTCCCTTCGTCCCATAGTCCACTGTCATATTTGTTTCCTGTCCTAGAACCACCCACGACATAATCTTTGCATGATTCAGTTTTAGAGTCCACCATGTTGAGTTTGTGTCCAAGGTTTGTTGCTGGTTTAGATTATGTTCTTTTTCTACTTTGTGTTGATCCCTCCACCCATCGACATCCCGTATCACCATCGGTTTGCATCTTGTATCCACTAAAACCCTAATTCAAACTGTCTTTTATAAAACAGTCATAACTTTTGTATCCAAACTCGAAATAGAGCGAATTTTATATCCATGGCGAACTCCAGAGAATTTTAGATCAGTTTCATCCAAGCAAGCCTGGGTTCGCAAAAATTAGATTTGTGAAATTCGATCAGGAAAATCAAGTTTTTGGGCCCACAAGTTTTGGCATGCTTTTTAGATCACAATCATGATTTTCTATAGGCCACATCTTTTATCCAATTGAGCTCAAATTTTTTGTGGCTTATTCTTGTGTGCTCCTTGCTAAGAAAAAAATATCAGAAGTGCAAAAGCAAAAAAAATGTTTGGACCAAAAAAAGAAAAGAAAAAATAGTAAAAGAAAAGAGAAGAGAGAAGAGAAAAGGTGCATATAAGGAATACTCAATAGCTCTATTATTTGTGGTGCCTTTTGCCTTGTCCATATTTCCATTGCTACCTTTCATACTTGTTTCACTCCCTTG